ATCTTTTCTGGTTTCTTTTAAAAAAAAATGTATTTCAAATTGGAGGATAATTGCTTTGCAATGTTATGTTGGTTTACAACAACATGAACCAGCTATAAGTTCATGTATATTCCCTCTCTCTTGAATCTCCCACTCACATCCCCCTTCCCTTCCAATGCCCCCACACCCCAATTTTCCTCCACCTCCCTCCCCCCAGCCCTCAGTCACAGAGCACCAGGCTGAACTCCCTGTTCTATAGAGCAGCTTCTCACTGCCGTCTCTCACATGGCAGTGTATATACGGCAATGCTACTGTTTGTTCCACTCTCCTTCACCTGCTGTGCCCACAAGTCTGTTCCCTATGTCAAAAAGCATCCGTCTTTTCCCCTGCTGCATGTAAGTAGGGCATTCCCTGCAAATGTGTGGTTTTTAAAACCCCATCACCTCTACACTTTACACAACTAAACAGTCTTGGAGAGTTTTTGCTGCCCTGCTTCACGTTGTCCCTCTGCTGTAGACAGGAGGCTTGGATTCTGTTCCTTACCTTTTTACAAAGGCGTTTTAGCTGACTTCTTCTGATACCTGCAATCAGGCACTCCCCTCTCCTCTCCCTCCTAACTGCTCCCCGCTTTTTCTAGCCCATCCACCTGCTTTGTTTTTAACTCCCTCCTACTTTTTCCCGAAAATGGAAACTTAATCTCCTTTTCTTGTTTTCCTTTTGCTTTTTACAACTTCAAAGAAGAAAGACAACCCCCATACCCACCTTCCTCTTAAGCCAGAAAACTACATAGACCTTAATCTTGCAAACTCTGGCATGAAAAACCTAAAGGTTTGAAGCAGCTAATTCACAACATCTTTTAAAGAAAAAGAAAAGGATAGAGGATTCATTTGTCCAGAGTATATACACATCTTGAAGCCTTAGGTAGATTTGTTGCTGAGCCAGGTTCATTTCCCTGTCACCCAGCAAACCAAAACGCCGAGATGCCGAGGCCTGTAGCAGAGAGGCAGCTGAGCAAAGAGGTCTCCAATTTGACTGTCAGAGGCTCAGGGCGCAGAGGCTTATGGGATAAAGAATAAAGAAGCTGGGTGGTCTGGGGCGTGGGGAGCTCGCCACAAGGTGATTGGGAAAAGGTGGGTAACTGCAACTAAGCTACACATTCCACAAGTTCAAAAATGTAGGCACTTGGATTGATCTGAGCGTGGGGTTCTTGGCCCTCTGATGTCAAAAGGGTCACCTAGAGGACACTCGCATATACCCTTTGGAGGGCTGGTGGTCCCAACTGGCTTGGCTCCAACTAGACACAGGTGATGCCAAGTTTCTGGGAGACAACTCTCAGGCAAACCTCGTTTAGGCTCCACACTTCTTGGAGGACATACAGGTCTTGTAGCAACAATTAAAACCACCTTGATGCGTGAAGTGGGTTACAGGTGAAATGGATTAACTGATGAGTACACGGTTTCAGAGTTAAAATATTCAGGGTATTTTCTTAACTTATCCTTTGAGCAAGCTATCTCATCTCTTTGGACCTCATTTTTCCAATGAGGGGAAGGGCTCTCTAAAGCCTTCAGACAGGATGGACAACCTAAGGTTTAATAGCAAGACACGAATCTTGAGTGGTGGAATCTAGGCTCCAGGCTACTTGGATGGGGGAGCAGTTTGGGGCTCTGAAGTGGAAAGCAGAGAACTTAACTTGTGGAGAGAACTTACTAGGACCTGGCTCTGGGCTAGGAGTTTTACATATGTTCCTGGGAGTACATAGTCTTTCCAGCTCCATTTTAGAGGCATGGTAAGAGGGGCTCAAGGGGTTAGAGAACTTATTCAGAATGGCAGAGGCAGGATTGAAGTCCTGGCTTTCCTGGTTTGGGAGCCAAATGTTCTTCCCAGAGCTACTCTCACAGGTATGTAAACTTGTCCTGTATAGACACGCATGGGCTGTGGGAACATTCCCAGCCTCCAGGACCCTTGCTTCTTACCTTCCTTCCCAACTCCATGGCAGTTATTTAAAAACCACGCCTTTTCATACTTTTAATATGTATTGACTTAGCTTCTAATCCCAAATGCAACCAAAATAACAGGATCCCCTCTGCTCTTGGTTCCCTGATGAACAGATCCAGACTGTGTTAAGGTGAATGGGTTCTGCTTGTTCAGGCTGGTGCTCTGGAAACTGTGCTCTAAACAGGGTAATCTAGTGAAGTCAGGCAGAGAAGGAGAAATATCGTATGACATCCCTTAATATGAGGACTCTAAAAAGAAGTGGTAGAAATGAACTTATTTACAAAATAGATACAGACTCATAGGCTTAGAGAACCAACTTATGGTTGCCAGAGGGGAAGGACGGAGGGAAGGGACAGTTAGGGAGTTTGGGAGGGACATGTACACACTGCTGTATTTGAAATGGATAACCAACAAGGACCTACTGTGTAGCACAAGGAACTCTGCTCGGTGTTATGTGGCAGCCTGAATGGAGGGCAGTTTGGGGAAGAATGGACACATGTATGTGTATGGCTGAGTCCCTTCGCTGTCCACCTGAAACTATCACAGTGCTGTTAATCGGCTATGTCCCAACACCAAATAAAAAGTTAAAAAGATAAGAAACAGGGTATTCATATACAAACACTTTACCAAATTATTTATACAAATCATCTGTTTAAAAAAGAGACCAAATAGATACCTTTGAAGACCCAAGGTATATTTTACCCAGATTATTTCTTAAAAAGAAGACAAAAACCCACTGGTGCTTTTGTACTTGTTAAAAGAAATAAGACACTGCATTGTGACCACTTTTCATTTGTTCACTGATGAAATCAATGCAAATAACTTTGGTATTTTTTTAAAGGTAAAAAATTCATTTCCTAAAAACACATTTACTTAGAAATTCATTTTACCTTATGAACTTCCTTGGCCTTATAAACTTGTCAGCAGAGCAAACTAGGAGCCAGTTTCCTGCAGCCATAAACTCCAACAGTCTTTTTACAAGTCTTTATTCTCTGGAAATGTAAATGCTTGTGTTGAAAAGTATTCACTGGGGAGATAAATGAGCCACAAAATGATTAGTGCCTGTTCAATGATTTGTCACCTCTGCCCTCCTTGTTAAAATGTAAAAGCGACTGGAGGGCTTTGAAAGGTAAGCCTTTCTTAGCACTTGAGTAAATGAGGTCTCCTGACTTTGCTTCTGGCCCACCTGGGCTGCCAGACCCCAGGGCCCCTGGACAGGCCATGTCCTCCCAGGCCTCCTCCGTAGACTTTGGGGACTCTTCCAGGGCAGAGGTTACGACCACAACCTACCTTGGCATTTCCACCTTTAGGCCACAGAATCCAGCAGAAGAAAAGTGAAATCATATTCTGAAGGGATTTCTACTTTTCCTTCTGAGCAAAGGGCAGGTGGGTGCACAGTAGGGGTATGTGTGTGTGTGTGTGTGTGTGTGTGCTAAGTTGCTTCAGTCATGTCCAACTCTGTGCAACCCTATGGACTGTAGCCCGCCAGGCTCCTCTGTCCACGGGGACTCTCCAGGCAAGAATACCGGAGTGGGTTGCCATTCCTTTTTCAGGGGATCTTCCCAACCCAGGGATCGAACCTGCCTCTCAGGTTTCCTGCATTGGCAGGCAGGTTCTTTACCAATAGCGCCACCTACTGGAAGTCCACACAGTAGGTGCATTCACTGTTAATTCTCTCTGCTCCTGTGAGCCTGGCCTTACGCCATGCCTGCCTAAATCCAATCATTCCCGCCCAGGTCCAGCTTCTCCATGGAGTCCTCCATCTTTTCATAGCTTCTCTCTTCTGTTCAAGAACCTACATTTCCATCTACTGACAAGCCAAACTCTTCAGCTGACTTTCAAGACCCGGACAACCTTCCTCACTCAGTTTATTCCCCCCTGGGTTCCCTAGGCAGCCCCGCTGGATGTTACAAAGAAGAGAGAAGTCACAGCTTTGCCGATTAGCACTGATGCATCTCAGGGTTGGCTGTCTTTCACAGAGAAGAGTGGAGGACCAGCAAGGGATGGGTTTACACTCACTGGACGACAGCCCTTTCCTGAGATAGTAAATGACATGTACATCCTCATCATAGACAATGAGCTCTTATCAAAAATTCAAAATAAAATTAATTAACTTCATAGGTCAGTGAACCATGCATGGGGGAGAGGAGACAGCCATGAACTGTTAGAAACAACATTCTCAGGAATGACTTTGTTCTGCACTGTCAAGATGTTCTTAGTTGTGACCCACTCTGAAGCGGCTCTGATTTTTAGTTTTGAGTTCACCTGCTTGCCCTAGCGGCTCCCCCCGGGTGCTATTGAGAGAAAAGGACTTATTTCTCCCTCTGATCACTGTGCCTGTCTGTTGACTGTGAGCTAGAAGACCACAAAACAGAAATTACAAGAAATCTTCCAAAAATAAGAATCAGTTGGCCCTGAGTGTGAGCCTGGACCTTGGGAAATACGATTGTCAAGGTGGAGATGGGGGCAGGGAGGAAAGGAAGGGGAGTGGAGGTATAGGGAGGGGCTGCCCACTAATTATACCCAAATCTCTAGGGCTGCGGCCCAGCATCAGTCTTTTTTAAAGCTTCCAGATGATTCCAGAGTTGTACTGCGCCCAATACCGAGTTTCACTCTGCCTGATCCAATTGACTAACAATGTACAGACGTGGTGAGTGAGGTAGGGGACAGGGAAGCTGGAAACTGCCTGGGGGGCGGGGGCCACAGGTCCTGGCTCAGGCAGGGCTCCTCCACCCCCATCACAAATAAAGAATATTCATCTTCATGAGAAAGACATTCTGAGAGACTTTGATGCTGCTAAATTTCCTGAACCATTTTTTATTCTTTTTCAGAAGTATGTACATTCTTTATTTGGGTCATTATAATGTAGTTGATAACCTATATTTCTTAGTTCTTTTGAGAATTTCCTTGGGACAGACTTAGCCCTTGGCTTCTGAGGTCATTTCTGTTTCAAAAAATAGGTAGTAAATCATTTGAAAAAGTTAAAGTATTCAGTTGCTCAGTCGTGTCCGACTCTCTGAGACCCCATGGACTTAGCTTTCCCCCTGGGAGCCCGCCAGTCTGCTCTGTCCATGGGATTCTCCAGGCAAGAATACTGCAGTGAGTTGCCATTTCCTTCTCCAGGGGCTCTTCCCAACTCAGGGATTGAACCTGGGTCTCCGGCATTGCGGGCAGATTCTTTACTGTCTGAGCCACGGGGAAAGCCCAGTACATCATTTATCAGGTGTCAGGTACTGTACAGGGTTCTGGGTTACCATGGTGTGTTGAGCAAGACCACTCTGACATTCGCATATTTGCTGTGGGGACTCAGAGGAGTTGCGCAACTGTCCTCACAGCCGAGATGTACTGCAGTGGTGTGAGGAGGACACCGAGCCCAGTCGCAAGTGAAAGGAACAGGCGGAGTGGGAGGAATCGGGTGCAGGCTTCCTCAGGCCTGACCCCCTCTGAGCGGGGTCACTCTCTCCCCTGAGAGCGCACCCCACAGCCAAGTGCGGCCACAGGCGCGCGGTGACCACTTGGGAGCCCACCGGAGACTCTGGGCTCGGGTCTTTATCGGGGGGCTGGGCACGTGGGCACCCCCTGGCCAGCACGTTCCCAAGTTCCGAGCCCCGGAAGGAAAGCAGGTGCTTCGCACACACCACAGAGCTGGAGGTCCGGCAGGCAAGGCCTTGCGGTCCCGGGAGGAGTGGGCGCTTCGCCGCAAGCGAGGAGTAGCTGAGAGGCCGGAAGTGAGGCACGGTGTGGGTGTGGGGGAGGCGGGACGGGGGACTTCCGTTCCCGCCGGAGAGTTGAGTCATTTGGTTACCGTCTGCTACAGGAGGAAACTTGGGGCCAAAGTATATGGCCACTGACCTCCAAGAACAGAGTTCCGGATTGTGCAAGGAGGGCAGAAAAGCTGCGTTTTAACTCCACAACAGTGTGTTAAACTGTATGTTAGGCGCTTGACTTATCCACGTGGTCTGGCTTATCAAATAGATGAGTTCTATGGAGCGCCCCCTCTTGGAAGCCCGTGGTACACACATCCTGAATTCCCCAACGGACTTCTAGAACTGGGTTTTTAGAGACGAGTCTGTGTTGGGTGCTTAGTCGCTCATCCATGTCCGAAGCTTGCAACCCCATAGACTGTAGCCCGCCAGGCTCCTCTGTCCATGGGATTCCCCAGGCAAGAATATTGGAGTGGGTTGCCATTTCCTTCTCCAGGGGATCTCCCTGACTCAGGAATCGAACCTGGGTCTCCTACATTGCAGGCAGACTCCTTACCGACTGAGCTACGAGGGAAGCCCCTGGAGGGAGGGAAGCCCCTGGAGGGAGGGAAGCCCCTGGAGGGAGGGAAGCCCCTGGAGGGAGGGAAGCCCCTGGAGGGAGGGAAGCCCCTGGAGGGGAGGATTCCCTACAAATACAACAAGCATCAGCACCAGGAGCCTGGGAGTGTTGAAGGTCCCTGTGTGAAAGACGTATATAAAAAATTACAGCGTACATTCCAGAACCTACTTACCTGATGGAGGAAGACAATCAGAAGCAAAATTATTTCCTGAAGAAGAGGTTTGGGGTCCTGTCTGAGGCACGAAGATCACCCACATGGCTTCCACCTCTTGCAGAGCAAGCTCACCAGGTTCACGAACTCCCTGACCTGTTTGCACAAAACCTCCCACCGCCCCCTAACCATACTCACTATGCACAGAATTCTCCGCCAAATTACTTTTTGGCATCTACTTTAACTTTCCCCCATATCTTATGCCCTCATTGTAAATAATAATAATAACGCACATATTGGACAAGTCTTTTAAAAATGAAGCAAAGTTTATAACCCCAGCAGATCATAAAACGCACATGTTCAGGTATTGTTATGGACTAGAAGTTGCCAAAATTGATAAGGAGTAAAGAAAGGTCAGACTTTTTTTTTTTTTTTTTAACCACACTGAGGGGCTTGCAGGATCCTAGTTTCCTGACCAGTGATTGAGCCCAGGGAACAGCAATGAAAACTCCCAAGTTCTAACCCCTGGACTGCCAGGAAAATCCCTTTTTTTCCTTTTCCTAAATAAGTCTAGAAACTTGGTTTGTCAAAGCTTCTGGTGTGGAACCTAGTACTTACAGTCACCACATGCTGACCTAAAAGTGCTCTCTTAACCCCAGGAAAGCAGTGCAGGTCAATGGGGTCGGGCATAAGAAATGACCTGAAACTCACAATGAGCCGTCTCCTCCAGATGTATTGCAATCTGAAGCACTAGGCTGTAAAAATCCACAGCTTTATGGCAGGTAGATCAGCAGAGCGCTGATGTGGCCTGAAATCCTCAGGGCAGGTTCACAATCGGGGGGCTTTCTAGTTCCATGACAGTTGCCTCCACAGGGAGTTGCCACTGCTCGAAGGGACTAGTGGTATTGCTCATAGAAATAAAGCATTCCTGATTAGTCCTTGAAAACGCTTCTTTTGGCATTTGGTGATTTTCTAGAAAGTGCAGAAGAAGTTGTATGTAGCCCTTTGGGAGTGTCTTAAATCACAGGAGAAGCAGAAGAGCCTTGCGTGATCTGCTGTCACTTGTCCCTTTTCTGTCTTCGTGCTGCCACCTAGGGAGAAAAGGAAAGCAGACGTTGCATCCTGGTGAGGAGACGCAGCCACCTGCCACCCCGAGGACCGTCTGCACCTTCACAACAGGAAAGCAAGGCTGGCGGGTTTAGTGCCGAGACCAGCAGCTGCGCACTTGGGCTCCCCGGTGGCTCAGTGGTCGAGAATCTGCCTGCCAATGAAGGAGAGGTGGGTTCATCCCCTGACCTGGTGAGATCCCACACGCTGCGGGGCAACTAAGCCCGTGCGCCCCAACCACTGGGCCTGTGCTCTAGAGCCCGGGAGCCCCAGCTACTGAGCCTGTGTGCCTCGCAAGAGACGCCACTGCACTGAGAAGCCAGCACACCGCAAGGAAGAGTAGCCGCCACTCGCTGCAACTAGAGAAAGCCGGGCAGCAACTAAGACCCAGCACAGCCAAAAACAGGTGAAATATGAGGGAGTGATAGCTGCTCAGTCGTGTCCGACCCTTTGCGACCTCATGGACTGTAGCCCACCAGGCTCCTCTGTTCATGGAATTCTCCAGGCAAGAATACGGGAGTGGGTTGCCATTTCCTCCTCATACACACACAGACACACACACAGACACACACACACACACAGACACACACACACACAGACACACACACACACAGACACACACACACACTATAAATGGGCTACCCTGGCCCGCTCAGACAGTAAATAAAAAGAGAGAAGACTTCAGACAAAGGAAGGGGTTTCCATCTAGCAACCTCATTCTAGGGTCAATGTTAGACGGCAGGAGGTGGGTTAGACCCAGTTTCCTTCTAGTGTTCAAAGGGAACAAAGTAGAAAATAGTGTTCAGGGTGCCCATAGTCAGGGAATGGACACCCTCATTTTAGGGAAAAAAATGCAAGAAACACACGCAAAAAGGTTCTAAGACGGATGATTCTTAAATATTTTTTCTCTTTTCCTCATGCAGATCCAATGTATAAAAGAATGAATACAGACTTGCTGGTAGAAGTAGTAGTCCTTAATATCCCCCTGAAGAATGCCACGGAACAAGTGTGACTATTGAAAGCTGGTTTCTGAGGACTAAAAGTCAAACATAATTATTGTGGAGCTATGTTATCAAAAAAGATGTTGATGGAAGCCAGGTTTCTATGCCATAATGCGGATAGGATGGGGCAGAGGTGAGACCTTTCCTGACCACCGACCTCACCAGGACTCTGGCCACCTCCCTGTCCAGCTTCTTCCATAGCCCCCGGCAACATCTGACGGCCCCTCCGTCCACCTCCCTAGAGCAGGAACTTCTTGAAGGCAGGTATTTTTGTCTGCCACGTGGACAGACAACACCTAGTGCCCAGACAACACTGGCACAAAGCGGGTGCTCTTAAAAGAAGAAATGAATCTAAGCCCTATTCCTTGGCTCCTTTTTTCTTTTGAAAGAACTAAGAACTTATAACTTTAATTTTACACATTCTGATCAAAACACATGTGTAAGGCAACAGTTCTCTTCACATCTTGAAGAGGCTCCGATTATCTATAAATTTGGTGCTTCCCTCCGCCCCCTCCTTGCCTCCAATAGCCTTGATTAGTATGAGACCATCAAAAACATTTATTAACCAACGTACAGTAACTGCTAAAAAGCTGACAGCTGAATTAAGAGACTTGACATGCAAATGCATGGGCTAAGTGGAAGCTTTACTTGCATTCTGGCTCAGCACTGCTGAAGATGAGTGACCTGCCGAATTCATTATGAACAGAAGCAGGATTAAATCTGATTTTCCTTCCTTAGGATAAAAGTCACAATTAAAACAGACTCCTGAGGGATCTGTGCTCAGTCATGTCCGACTCTTTGTGACCCCAAAGATTACAGCCCACCAGGCTCCTCTGTCCATGGGATTCTCCAGGCAAGAATACTGGAGTGGGCTGCCATTTCCTACTTCAGGTACTGAAGGATAAACGGCCATAAAGCTGTGCACAGAATGCTAAGAACTGTGGGGAGGCCGAAAAGAGAGGGCTGGGCTTGAGGGCAGAAGAACGGTGTCTGGCGTGGCCGCTCAGTCTGGGTGACTTCGTTTTGACCATCTATAAAACAGGGATGCACCACCTCTCTGATCTGCCTTAGAAGGTTGTGGTAAAGATTAACTACTGATACAGGATTGCTGTAAAACCTGTAAAACTATTAAACATAAGGTACTTTTCATCAGTCTAATGACCCCAAGGAGTATATAAATCTGTGTATAAAAAGGTGTATGAATCTGATTGCTTCTTCCTTATTAAGATGATGTCAAAGCCTGTGGGACATCTTCCAAGGACACTAGAAAATAGCCTTTCACCTGCCTTCCTAGACTCAGAGCTGCTTGTTTTTCACCAAGAGGCTCAACTGTATAATGTGATATCTGGAGAGCTCCAAATTTTGGGTTAGTCCTGGAGAAAGGATTGTTTGGGGAAAAAGAACAAAACACCAAAAAACAAAAAAACGTGATACAAGCCAGCCAGTTAAGTTTCACCAGCCGCAAGAACCAAGAAAGTCAACCTTAACCTATGTGAAGAGGTTGTCTTTCAAATCTGGTGAAGGGGGGACTTCTCAGGATATAACAAAAGTCGAAGTTAGGGGAAAGGGAATTAATTTGGTGTGGAGAGTTTGGGAGCCAGAGGTCCTAAGTTTAGCTTCTGGCTCATTTATTAGCCACGCGACTTTGGGCAAATAAGATGACCTTACTTTCTCAACTGTAAAACAGGGGAAATAATACCAATTGTGCCACATGGTTTCTGGAAGGATTTTAAACACATAAATGCATGTGAAAAGCACTTAAAAAGGGCAAAACACA